GTACCCATTTATTAAGCTTCCACAGTTCCTGGCATGTTAAAATTGCTCCGAAAGAATTAAAACCCAAATGCATTGCCGTCGAGTTGATTCTAACTTATATTGACCCTACAAGTTAGAGCTGCCCCATAGGGTTTCCAAGGCTGTAATCTTGATAGAGCTTTGGTAGTGTAGTGGTTACGCGTTGGGCTGCTAACCACAAGGTCAGCAGTTCGCACCCGGCATGCTGCAGGAGAAAGGTCAGGCTCTCTAATCCCGTAAAGAGTGAGCGCCCTGGAGACCCACAGGGGAAGTTCTACCCTGAACTACAGGGTCACCCTGAGGTGGAACTACTGGATAGCAACGAGTTGTTTGTTGTAATCTTGACGGAAGCAGATCACCTCATTTTGCTCCTGTGGAACAGCATGTGGATTTGAACTACCCACCTTTGGTTAGCAGCCAAGTGCGGAATGACTGCACCACCAGGGCCCATTTCCAATGTATTACTGGGCTCTTATTATGTGCCAAGCATTTAGAGTCACTATTGCATTTAGTTCTCACAGCCACTGTTGTTAGCTGCTATCAAGTTAGTTCCGAAGCCCAGGGACCTATGGCAAGAGAACGCACACTGCCCGGTCCTGTGCCACCCAGGTTTGGATGCCGTGTTTCTGTCCATTGTTGCAGCCCCCTGTACTGACTCATTGCTGGGGGGTCTTCCTCTTTCACACTGATGTAAACATTACGACAAAGCCCAAGTGCTCGAGGTGGCCTGTGACGCAGTGGGCGGAGCAGCGGCCAGGAAGGATTTGGGAAGGGGGCTCCCACGAGAATCAGCATCTGAGAGACTGTGGTGGGGACCCCCGAGGGACCTCTGCCTCTCCCTCTGCTCCCGCCAGCTCCCAGCCAGCATTCTGGAGGCGGCTGATGTGGCCCTCACTTCCGACTGCCAGGGCTAAATGCTTCATGGTAATTAATTCAATTTGCTCTGTAGGGGAATGGAAGCCTGGGCTCGTATTAACGGTCTGAAGTTAACATGTAATTTCTGCTAATTGGAGCCAAACACGTGTCTTCGCCTCCAAATGAGGAAGTGGTTCTATGAATAAACCCACGTCACTGGAGGTGGTGGGGAGCCTGGCAGACGGGCAGCTGCACGGGCTGGAGGGACGAGGACTACAAAGGGGCAGGAGGGTGTCCGCACAGAGGATGGCAGTGAGAAGCGAGTATGCGGAGTCGGGAGGAGCTGCAGCCACCCTCCACAGCAGGGGCAGCTCAGCCTGCACACTGCTGACAGAAGGACGAGAGGCCATGTGGAGTGTTTACCAAGAGCCAGGGCTCCCTGGGAGGTACAAACAGTTAATGCACTTGGTTGAGTTGTGGGCAAAGGTTGGGGGTTCAAGTTCACTGAGCGGTGTCTTGGTCCTACGTCCCCACATCCAGCCCCGGAAAACTCTATGGAGCATGGGTCTCCTCTTATGGGGTCGCGCGGTAAACTAAGTGGCAGCTGGTTTGTACCAAGACCCAGCACGGCACCCCTACCTGAGCTCTGTGCTCCCTGGGGGTTACCAATGCCCAGCGAGGAGGGTGACATGAACATCTCGTTGCAAATGGGAAATGGGTGTCCGTCGAGGCTGTGCCCTTGCCCAACCGAGGTTACGTAGCGACAGAGGCAGAGCCAGGATGCTGACTCCCAAGTCCGTGCTCATCCCTTGAGCCCACTGGGAGGGTGGGGGTTATTGCTCGACCCTCCACCGGGGGCAGTGTGCACGGCCCTGCTGCCTGAGGGGCCACTCCCCGCTTTATCCAATGGCGCGGCAGAAGAGTAATGACAGCAACAAATGCTTTGCTGCTTGTCCCATCCAGAGGAGAGTGTTCCCCCGAATCCTCCGCCTGGCATCTGGCCAGGCTTTGTCCCCACAGAACGTGGCGGAAGCAACGCTGTGAGACTTCAGCTGCATTCACTCTCACCCCAGGGCCCCCATGGAAGGGGTCAGTCAGGCATCTGGACAAGGACCGAGGCTTGCTGATCCACAGCCACTGCCCGCTGCCAGACACATGTGCCAGGGCAACCTGGACCCTCTGGGCATCCCTGCTGCCTTCTGATCTCCACTGCTTGAGGGAGGCGGTCAGAAGACACGACACTATGGGCTAGGGTTGCCAAGCACAGGTACATGGCTGCAATGCAGCGGCCCCACAGGAGAAAGACGAGCTGTCCACTCTCGTAAAGACGTGACAGTCTTGCAAACCCGATATGAGGTCGTGATCCGGGGACAATCAGTCACGGTGTGAGGAGACCACCTCCCGTCTGTCGGCGTGCTGTCCTGTGGCGGCTTGTATGTCGCTGTGATGCTGAGACCGATTCCACCTGTGCTGCAATCCCAGCAGGGTTACCGGCTGAGAGAGACTGAGAAGAAAGGCCTGGCAATAGACTCCAACACGTAGTCAATAAAACCCTGTGCACTACAGGGAGCTTCAGGTTTTTGGAGCAATGGGATGAGAAGAGGACAGAATGCTTCCATGAAGTTTCTGAAGACCCCTGTGGTTAAACCAAGAGCCCACTAGGTTAGACGGTACTCAAGCGCACAGTGGCCGGACATACCTGTGACGGTACAGATGGTGGTGGTGGTGGTGGTGGCAGATGGCAGGGCTCTGTTCTGCTGTGCACGAGGTCACCCTGAGTCGGAGTGGGCTTGATGTTATAACAATGCGTCTGGAGAGGTGATTTGCTTTTTCTTTCTTCCCCGGCAACGGATAACTCGTACAAGATGCTCGTGAAGGTGCTAGGACCAGTGGTCTTAAACGAGGCCGTGCAGCCTGACTGGGCTCGGCTCTGGCATGTTAGTGACCTTCCTCGACAAGCAGGGCTCTGGGTAGCCGCTGCCCAGACAACAGTCCCCAGCCCAATCCTGGTCTGTGGCCATGAGCAAGCTCACTCAGCCTGGGCCCAGACACAGCGCCCATCCCAGATCGGCCTGTAGACCCCGACCATGTGAGTATCTGTTGTAGCCCCCAGAGGTGGGGGCTGGCCTGTGCTGTCGTAGCACTGGGATCAATAGCCGACTGGTCCGACCATCCTGCCTCCCTGAACGCCGCTGCACACATCCACGCCGTGAAGACTCTGTTCTACCGTGTGGGGAAGACATGGGGGCTTCGGCAAGTTCACGGAAAACTGCCATTACCTTTCAGTTCAATTTCCCCGTGAATTTTTGAAGTGCTCTCATACAGTCCTCCCCTCCCCCAACCCTCAGAGATTCTGAAAGCACAATGACATTTGCATGACGTTACAAGAGCGTAGGAGTCAGTGATGCTGTCCTGGTTCAACAAAGCCCTTTGCGGGGGAAGCGCTGGGAGTGGGGAGAGATGGTAATCCTCTAAGGCCTCCCTTGGCGGGCCACCAGGTCCTAGGTGGCCAAGTAGAGCAGGAAGGGCGGTGGGGTGGGGGGCTGTCCCTGTGATCTGCTGTCCCTGGCCATGACTGGCGTCACAGGCTGCCTCTAGAAAAGGTAAGTTACAATGCTTTCCGAGGTAGACATGAAACCTTGACCCGGGCCCAGCGTGCCCGTCCTTCCTTCTAGCTTTGGCTTGACCTCTGTCTCCAGCCTGGCTTTTCCCGGTGAACACAACCCAGAGCTGGCACCCAGGCCCTTGTGTGCGGTGGTCTCAGAGCTACCAGAGGTGGGACAGAGCAGCCTCCCACTGCTTCAAGGGACAGGGACCAAACCACACGAAGGAGGCAGCTGAACGCTACAAAGGAGCCCGAGGGGGCGGGGGGGCGCATCTACCAGCCGGGGCATTGAGAGTGGCCAGACCTTCCACACTGGGCTCTGGTCCTTCCACAGTAGAGGCCTGTCCCAGGTGACGTGGGGACAGATTTTAGCAGACAATGACAAGCAGAAATGAGTCATGGCCCAAAGTTCCCTGGCCTCTTCCATGCCTGCCGGTGACGCCAATGCTCAAAATACCACCAGTCAGCCCCTGACTCATCCCAGCCCCCTCGGGTCCAGCTGGCTCCCATCCCCACCCGCTCTGTGCCGGTCACTGAATCACCAGCTGACCAAGGAGAGTGTGTCGGGGTGTTCTGGGGGAGCCTCAGGGCGGGGGCTCTAACTGCAGCATCCATCTGGAGTCCTGGGGTGAACTCTGGCAACAGTGCGTTTCAAACGGGCAAAAGTATGGCTGCCATGTGGGGTGGACACACTTAACTCCATTTTATGGGTCCGAGAGGCCTTCGGTGCAGGCCAGTGAGGATGCTGGCGGTGGCCCCAGCCTCCTCTCTGAGCCACCTGTGCCCTCAGACAAAGGTGCTCCTTCCTCAGTGCCATCTACTTACTGTCCCACTGAGCTCCACCTCTGCTGCGCCCCAGCAGCAGAGGGGCGCATCTGGGCCCAGGGCCACAGACCACTCCAAGTGCCCTACCTCCGATCCCAGCTCCCTCCGACAGGGAGCCTCTATAGACAGTTCTGTCCCCAACCAGCATCCTGTCCCAGAGATCTCGCTCCCTTGAGGTTGGGGACAGTGGCCCTCAGTCCTTGTGCTGCCAGCACAGGAGGGATGACAGTGGGTGACATCACAAGTTCTAGGGAGGCCCTTGGGGCACACTCTCTGTCACACTGGCCTCAGGACACTTAGGTAGAGACTACAGCCCTGTACCTGACCCTGGCCCTGCCTGGGACTCCCTGGAAATGTGCAGTAGCATTGGGGGTTGTCACAGTGCCCCAGAGGGGCTACTGGCATTTGGCAGCTGGGCCAGGGGGTGCTAAATATCTTCTGATGAGGTGTGTGCATGTTTGTACACGTGCGATCTTTCCAAGCTCTTTCAACACGTCCATATCCCAACACGGAGACACATATACACGCACGATGCCAGAATGGGGCCCAGAACTCAAGGGCCAGGGCCATTATCATCCATCCCACATTACATGCAGAAAGGCGTCATTTCCCAAGAGCCGTGGCCCCTCTGCAAGGCCCCTGTGCTCAGGACCGCCGGCCTGGAGGAGGAGCCACCCGGCGACAGCGCCTCACTCACCTTTCTCCTGAGCCATCTCCTGCAGACAGAAGTAGATGACTCTGGCTCCCAGGCTGAAGCCAATCAAGGTGACAGGTCGCCGGCCCTGGGGGAGAGGGAGGACACAGGTGTCTGAAGGAGACACGGCCTTGATGAGGGGGGCGCTGATGAACGCGCTCAGCGCCTGCCTCTTGCTTCCTGAGTCACGCAGGTGCTATTCCTGGCACCCGAGCGAGCGAGCGAG